TTTTTTCCCTGATGAACATATGGACAACATTTATTAGCAAGATAATTATCACACGGACACACAGTTTATCGATGGCGCATTTCAGATAGAGACAATTTTATGACGTATGACTGAATATGAGTGAATAATATAATAAAAGTAATAATATGTATAATAACGATTCTTACCGATAATAAATTAATCATGTTAAAAGATCGATTTTGCTCTCGATGACTTATCGCGTGTGATTTTTTTTAAGACAGCTACAGCAGCACTTGTCGAACAAAATCGTTGAGATGACGAGATGGTTTATTTTATAATAACCATAGACCGACACTATATACAGCAGGATAACTATATAATAATATAGATAATATCGTCTCCCGCCCTAACTGTAAATACCGTCAACGTATCGTATCGTGTATTATTCGCGTCCATCATCGTATAATACTATAATGAAGTATGTATAGACATCGTATTATACGAGTTTGCATTTACAATACGTAGCAGATCTGCATTGTCGTCGTATGCCCGAAAAACAATACACCTCCCCGAGGCCATCGTGCTATCAAATATTATTGTGGTATGCAACTACGCTGCACGGCGTGTTGTATAATATATTATAGTATCGACAGTCGACACGATGGATATTATATTATTGTACAGCAAAAACGCAACAACGACAACGATCGTTGTTATCACACTGCAGGACTCGTGTACGTATTATTATAATTTATAATAATAATTTGAATTCGCAGATTGAAACAAATAGAAAATTCCACCTGGATGGCCCTTATAATCGGATGATATTATTATGGACATAGATGGCGGTTCTCAGACGGTGAATTACTACACAAGGTCAAATAGTGTTACAGTGATTTTTATAACAAAAATTTAAAATTAAAAAAAAATTGTCCAATAGGTACAACATACGAAACTAACAAATGAAATATTTAAAATTCAAATCGTAACTTGAAATAGGTAAGCAATCGCAAATTTCAGTCTAATTTCTAAAAATAATTTTGGTATCGTCGTTATATTCATATTTAAAGGGTTCGTAATTAAATTAAAGATTCTTCCAAGTCACAAGATCCATTTTCAAAACGTTTACATTATGTATATTACACAAGTTTAGCCAACAGAACATGTCGTCAAAATATCTAGCGTTCCACTGAACTGTTATGATTGAATGGCATTGGCATACCTTAAACCAAACACAGAGTTAAATAAGAATAGGCGAAGTAATGAGAAATCACGACCGTTTATGAAAGTATATCTTTTGTATTTTATTTGTGGAAGGTGAGGTTAGGTTAGGTCTATAATTTTCTAATTTCCAATTGTATGTATAATATTTTATATTAAATTGCATTAATTGTGTGGCTGACAATAATTTAACAAGAAAAATGCATTTTTGTCCAAATTGATATAGGTATTGTTTTCAAAATATTAATAATGATGCAATAATGCATCAATTTGATAAGTTTTTTGTACGGCAGTTTGAGAACTTCTGGTTTTTACTTAACAATACAATACCTATGCTATAATATAATATTATTATCATGTGGATTGCGAAGATTACGATAATCAATAATTAGCACCCGAGATGATACGGTATGTCGTCAGCCTTTGTACGACAACGACGACGACCCGTCTGGTATGTATATTGTTGTTCAAACGCCCTTGAAATTAATAATATTTCATGTGAACGAATCAGAAAATAATAATGGCGTTATTTTCGTATCTCGAGAGTAAAATGTATAATATGTATCGCAGGTGCGATAGTGACGTTAATAATATAATGGAATTTTCACCAGGGGGAAAAATGAAGTTATTGAACTTAACGCCCGTAGCGGCGATGCGCGTCCATTGAATGCCAGAATGCGGCACGTGGGTTATTTACCTTATACCCCATAAAACCATTGAATATTTTTTTATCAGTATAATATACTATAAAACGCTGATAGGTACGATGTATATATATATATATATAATTTTGAACTCATTGTTTGTACCAAAAGAATAATAAGTATATTAATAACCTTCATAGATATTATGTTTTAATGGATTTTTATATTACACTTTTGACTTTTGTGTGAAAGTTCGTGAATAACGTGTTTGAAGTTATCATCGTTGTGTAATGATGGATACATGACCAATAATTTTGATTTCAGACAGCTTCAGTTTAAATATAGCACCGAGACACCACAAGGAAGTCGGACGGCGCCCCCAGGTCACTGATTAGGTATATAGTTATAAAATACGAGTATTATGTTATGTGTAGGTAATGTGATCTAGGTATCTGGTATATGGTATGTTTTTATGTGACTTATTAAATGGTCATATTTATTCTCCGGAATTATTATCTCTCATTGGTTTTAATGTAAAAACTCACGTATTAAGAAAATCTATTTTTTTTTCATGTTTCTCTCTGCAAAAATAATTATATTTCCACCTCGTTTTTTCCTAGAGCTCTATAATTGGCTAACTGTATTATAAATCATGTTGATCTTTTTGCAATGTCCCGTTATTTGTTTAGACAGTATGTATACTTGGCCTTTAATTTGTCTTAATTATTATTAATATTTTATTTTTTAGCTATTCTTTGTTAATTAATGATTTTTTTTTACTGTTTTATATATTATAATATTATTCTTCATTTAGCTGTTTACTATTACCATTTATTTTGTACTACTAATTTTTTATTTTGTTTTTGTATCTAAAATATATTATAAGATATGCTAAACTGTATCTATAATTTTTCGAATTGCTAAAGGGTTTAATACCCGTTTATTATACATAAATAAATAAATAATTTAAAACACAAAACTCAAAATGTCACACCCCCTCTTCTTCCACTATTGCCCCACAAAAACATATCATATGATATTATAGCATTAAAATTGATTATTGGTTATTGTTTTATACATTTAGTATTTTTTTTTCTAATCTACAGAACTTATAAAATATTCATTACAATCGCCAGTCCGTGGAGCACTGCGGTGATACCGTCGGCGATCGTGACACGATACAAAAAATAAAACATTGAGTACAATCTCGATAATATTACAATAAACAACCTATAGTATTACTATTAATTGATTAATATTATTGCCTCGATATGATTAGAATTTCGGAATAATAAAATAATAATATTAATCTCATCATCGGGATTATGAATTATCCCATTTCGACTGCGATTTGTTTACAACTATATAACACCTACTGCGCGTTATTGACGATAATATATTGTTGTTATGTTGGGTCTTAGGAATAATAATTTATTTAACATTGAAAACGCGGAACCATTGTGTATTGTATTGTCTTATTGCCGCGAGCTCATAAAACTTCTAGAATTTTCGCCAACAATACATCAGCTGCTGCGGGGCTTTAAAGGGGGGGGGCGTCTACTTTTGTTACAACACGTGCAAATTTGCAATGCGCAATGTGCATAATATTATAACAGTAAACGTGATACACGTTGTATGCGGTCAATAATGGAAAAAAAGTGTTAATATTATTTTACTCGGCCAACTGCGTTGAATAATATAATAACTATATACGAGTGTGTTATATTTATAGAAGTTGTCAAAATGAATTTATGTAAGAATGTTCGTATCGTTCAATATGTTGTAGTCATAGCGTTATCGTACTTTAGGTACAAGTGATAAAACACAAAACGTGTTATAACAGATTAAACCCGTCGTATCATATACCTAGAAAGATTTGTTCAAACATATTATTATAATATACGTGTGGTCGGTTCTCGGACGGTGAAATCAATTCATACACACAGCATTTGTATTAAAAAGTTATAAAACCAATAATGATCCACACTTGGCAGGTACAAGCCCGACGTCCCGATTTGCATGATGAACGATCGTATACTGGCTGCCAATCAACGCGCCACGCGGCTTTCCATGAAATGGTTGAAGACGTCATGATGATTTTAGATGCAAGAAGCAAGATGAGAGGCTAGCTGAATCAAGAGCTGCTCTAAAAGATTGAGCTCCCTCCGGGAAATCAGCAGAACGGGATTCCAGGCCGGGAATAGGATCGACAAACGGCACTGTTATCATAATTATAAACTATATATTGTTTAGTATATTGGACGAAGAAGTGCAGAAGGTTTCTGATGTTAATTATTTCCGCTATATATATATTCGTTTGTCAAGTACTGTGTTTAAATGTTTTTAATGTTTTTAATGTTTTTCATTAATAAACGATGGCAGCAGAAGAGTAATAGTATTGTGCAAACAGACCCTCCTCTGCTGTCGGTTCTAAATCGGAAGAAAAAGAAAAGAAAAAAGTAGGTATATAAGCATAAAAACAATATGTATATATTTTATTATTATTATTTTAGCCCGACATAATATTGCGTACCTATACCCAATATTGCCAAAAATTGTGATCGTTACGTAATGCATTATAGGTACAAATGAGATAATAATATCTCATCCTTTAGGTAATGTTTACAGAGTTGCTTAACTATTTGTATGATAAACTATAAGGCACCGACACCATCATCGATACGTCTTGTTGCCCTGCAGATAAGTGCTGGACATTATCACTCGGTTATGCGATGCAGCGTGATATGTATATGTATTATTATTTATTATTATTATTTTTAAACACTGCTCAAGTACGTAATTGAAGATTGGACGTGATATCGAATTCTGATTGTTAAAGATTACTTATACAGTCAACACTAGGGAATACTTATACCTACGTTTGTTTATATCTGCAAATAAGATCTATATAATGAAACTATGGTTTTATTACTTTCCCGCAAAAATCAAAATTAATTACGTATCGGGTATATATCATCGACCATATTTTTAATGGAATTTCACTGCTTTGTGATTTTGAAGTTTGTTTTTTCCCAAGACGATTACGGTCGTTCGGACCAGAGAAACTGCGAGAAGATCATTGGATGCTCGATATCATGTATGAATATACGCCGATGTTTTTCCACTATACCCCACTCTTTGTGAATATTTTCAGTATAAATTGGGCATTGTGAAAATCGACCACGGCACTACACGCAGAGTGACTGCGACCTGCAAGCACGACTATAGCTGGTGTTACGTAATTCATTCAAGTAACAATAGATTCATCAGTGCAACCAAACGTAAGTGCAAAAGATTTTAATATAAATAACACAGTAATAACATCGATTATTTGTTGAAATCTTTATTAATATATACACAATCTCTACGCAAACGGCACAATACGACTATGAGCTAATGACAAGGGAGAACGAAAAATTTGAATGAAGAAGCCATCACCCACTGATCACACTTATTAATACGTATTTTAATTATTTTGTTTTAACAATTATTCTCTTTTTTTTTGTTAGGGATTTAGTAGGTCTCTGCACCATTTTCGCTTAAGGTGACGAGGAGGGTTACCAGGGATGGTTAATGAAACTAGATTTTTTACAAGTTCGTTTGGACGAGAGTTAAGGCGCAGGTGGAGACGCTTATAATAATTTAATTGTTTAAATCTAATACATTATCGTCGTACTTGCATTGCTCGTGCAAGAGAACAGAGAAATAAATTATTTTCGCATGTTTTATTACAATAGTATGGTTCATAACATTGTATTTTTTTTTCTAAAGCAATAAATGGATTAGGTGGGTGACGTAACCTGCTCGGAGTTGTTGATAAACTGTGGGTAGTCCATATGATTAGTAATTATATTAATTACCGTTTAGATTTTTAGCGATATCGCCAAAAGTCGGTAATAATAATCGGTGTTGCAAAACAAACTGTTATATTGAAGCGTAACCGGTTGTTGTTGTTATGTACCTATTTTTATAATAAATTACTTTACACCTTCGCAAAATAACACCCACAACTGGAGAAATCTTTCTTGGCGTGCCTACTTTTCTCTTGTAAATCGCATATTGATAAAATATTACATTCGTTTGGTATGTATTGGCACACGTATTAGCGATGCGACATATTTTATGTTTAGATTTAAAATCCTTCGCGTGACCACCACGGCCGTGTTTGAATTTTAAATTCGATCCGGACAAATGTAAACAAGATTCATAATGTTAAATCGAAAACCCGCTTTATGATGAACTTTTTCTATAGTCTCTCGGAAATTTGTCACTTAAATTATTCCACTGTGTATATTCATCGCACAATTTACACATATTATTTACAATCTCTATACGTATTTACACCAAACACATGTCGCTATAAAAAAAAGTAATAAACTGCTTCACAGTGCAATATTTATTTAATTTTTTCTAAAATTACCGAGTGCAGTGATCATTTTATTTCGATACAGAATATAGTCCGCATTTTTCTGAATACATCGAATTTCATAAATTTAAATCAACTTGATTAGATCAAAATAGTCAAATAATAATATAAAATGATTTAATTGAAATGTATAATTTCATAATAAACATATAATATATTATTATTATTGTCACTATTTCACATCGTGTATAGTATCCTATAACTCCTGCAGAGATGATTTTATAAATATTTTGCCTAGTACATTTTTACACGGGCTTGACGTACCGCCGTTAGCAAGTTTGTTTAACCTAAAGAATCTAATATAAAACGGATTGTATAATATGCAAATAAAAATTTTCAAAAACCAACGAGAAAATAATTTATTGCTTAATGGATTTTTATTATTTTCGTCTAATTTTTTTTTTCACTTCTATCGCATTTGAATGACAAATTGTTTATTTAAATGTAAGTCATGTTTAAATTTTACAAAAATTGTATTTATCGGTTCACTCAATAGGTAATAATTTGAATGCCCTTAAGAAGGTTTTCAATGTTCGCAGCGACCTAGTTAAAATTCATATTTTGTTCATTCGTTTAGTGACGTTGACATTAATAGTTGTTGGTTACAGTAATTTTAATTTTAATGATATTTAGATAATATTTTTATAATAATTTATCATGTATAATATTGTACAGGAACTTCCCTAAACATGTTTTTATTTGATTTGTAGTTTATTCAAATACCTTACTTTAGGGGTTATCGATGTTTAAAAATAATTCATTTTTTTTCTTTTCATAGTAAATAACTTTTAAGATCAATATTATGATACATATATATTTTATTTTTTTATTTGAAATAATATTTATAATCTATGCTACGAGACATATAATAAGCAAATATGAACAAACGATAAATCATTTTACGACATGAAACACTCATGTATGTCTCTCCTCAAGCCATCCAGTGACAGAACCCATGGTTAATTTTTATTTTTCTAATTAAATTAAATTAAAGTGATATTTTTAGGATCGTAAAATAGGGACCGATATAACTATAAACTTTCTGAAAACCTATTGAAGAATAATGAAAAAGTTGTAAAACAGCTGTTATAAGTTATAACTAGGTATTGCTAAGGGAATAAACTGTGCCGAGTGAATGTTTTTCTTGTTTTCATGTTCGAAAGTGTTACGTAATAATGTCGTATGGTTATAAATTTGAAAAAATTAAAGTTTAATAACTCATTTTAAAGCTAAAATATGAAGAAAAAAACTCGGTTCGAGTACAGTTGGTATTATTCATAACTATTCCTTTATCTATAATTACAGATGACCGGTGCAACTGTAGTAGCTACGGTGATGTTGGCCGCAGTTATCGTCGTTGCCGGAATCGCGGGAGCGGAAGCAGAAGCTGCCGCGGCGCCGCAACTGCAGCAGTCGCTACACGCGCAGGTGACTCAGTACGGGCCGGAAGCCAGGGCCGGATACGCGGCCGGTTACGGTTACGGTGGCGTCCAGGTGCCGGCGGCTGTCCAAGCCGCGGCCGCAGTCGGCAAGTCGGTGCACCTTCACCAGCAGTACCAGCAACAGTACCAACAGCAACAGTACTACGCAGACGGGCCACACGCCGCGGTGGTCGGTTACGTGCCAACGGCCGTTTACAAACCGGACCTGTCGGCGTACGCTTACGGCGTGTCACCGCACGTGGAACAGCTGCGCCGGTTCGACCCGGTTGTCCGGCCGGTGCACACGGTGGTGCCGAAGGTGACGGCCGTCGAGCCGTCGGTGACCGTGCACAAGACGTACGTGGACGTGCCCGTCCTGCACCACCATGTGGCAGACCACCGCTTGGCGTACGCCGGTGCAGGGCCGGCCGCGGTGGTGCAGGCTGACTACGTGTCGCCGTACTACAACTATCAAGTGGTCGACCGATGAGCAGACCGATGAGCGGACCGATGAGCGGACCGAAAACGAAATTCAACATAATATTTTATCGTCAGCGTTTATCATCATATTATAGCGTTATATTTTTGTACATTTTATTATGATATATTATTGTTTTGTGGTATCAAAACGCATTGCGCCAAATGTGTGGTGTGAGTATAATTTAATATATATTACAACGATGTTTGGTTTACACATTATAATGGTTTATTATATATATAATATATATATGCATATGTTATAATAACAGTAGGTACCTATGATACATCTTATGTGGCACGCGTGATACACATATAATTGTGTTTGTATCGCGGTGACATTTGTAGTTTTTTTTTTCATTTATAAGAGTTATATAATGCGATCTATGAGAGTGAAATAAGAATCAGTGGCTGCGATTGAAGGCCACTCGTCATTCCGGTCGTCTCTCGTCCATTCATGCCGTCGTCGTCGTCTCTGCCTTTACAGGTAAGCCGGAGCAGCGTACGGGTAGTAACCGTAAGGCGCGTAAGGTGCGGCGGCGACGTATGGGGCGGCCGCGTAAGGTGCAGCGGCGACGTAGGGCGCCGGGGCGGCGGCCACGTACGGAGCGGCCGGCAACACCGGCGTGGCCACGCTATGGGCTACGCTGTGTGACGTGAACGAACTGGCGTAGGGCGCAGCGACGGCCACCGGGGCGATTGCGGCCGCGGGCACGAGTCCAGCTGGTTTGGCGGAAATGGCCATCATGGTGGATGCGAAAACTGCGACGGCGGCCAATGTCTGCAAGAAACACGAAATACAAAAATCGTAAGCGTCGTTCGGCCTCGGTAGTTTTCTCGGACGACGAGCAAGTATGACATTTAATATCACGTAATAGGTATGTTGTTATAGTCAGTCATTTTTTTCAACTATTATTAAAGTTGAGTTTATTAAAGTTGTTTAAATACAAAAAACTACCTAAACTAGAATGTAAGTCAGTTTCTGAAATTTCCCAAATTCGTCATCACTCGGTCAGAAGTCAGTTTGATGAAAATGGTAACTTAGGTTATATCTGCGGAGTATAAGTTAGAATAAGTTGGTTTTTTTATAGTTTAAAATACAAATTTAAAAACCATTTGTTTGAAATATGTCGAGTATTAAATGAATTAATTATCTGTATAACTTAAATATTGTAGTTAGTGTACAGTAATACAATTTTAGGCATAACAACTGACGATTCGATCAAATGTTTCAACGTTCAAGTAAGTTGTGTTATTGCAACTAACGACCTCATTTCTTGAAAACGAATTGGAATATCAGTCATTAGGTCACAGAACGTACAATGAAATACGAAACAGTATTATTATTGTAATATTTATTGATTACAGGGAAATCTCTAAATAACGGACACTCGCGGTCGCTTAAATTTCGTCCGCTATTCGGAGATGTCTGCCATTTGGAGGTGTCCGCTATTGAGAGGTGTCGGTTAAAAGAAGTTTCACACTGTATTAGTCATTACGTCTTGTTAGATATTATATTATAACTTATCGTCGTCCGATTCACTCTAACACTTGTTCAAGGGGTTCGGTATAGGCAATTTTTGTGCAGATCACAAGCGAAATACTCGAAAATCGTATAACAATGATATTATTAATTTTAAATTCACCTGGTGGTGTGTGTGTGTGTGTACAGCTTTWCTGTAGTATCAGATGATGATCAAGTTGATCGTTACAATTTTATGAAACGAACAAAACTCCAAAGATTATTGTATATTTTACGGGTTTGTATCAACTCGGGTTCGATACAAGGAACGATAGATCGGCCACACATTTACATCACACTTTCAAACGTCAGTAGATTTGAATTTTTTTTGTTTTACTTCCTTGAATTTCAATCAAGTAAGTACCTACCTACCTACTATGGTAATTCGAACGAAAAGATCTGAATTTTGAAACTTCAAAAATTTGTAGAAAATTAGAAAAATGTTTAAAAAAAATGTACAAGTCATAGTGAAAAGGTAAGTAACCTTTTAGTTATTAGTCGGAAATCTTAGTTCATTTATTACAGACATTAAAAGTTGTTCATCAAAAAAACATACACACATATATGTCATATGATGTGTAGATTGTAGATAATAACTGAGTACCAAAGTTTAATTCAAATTTTAAGACGGCTAAAAAGTATGATATGCGTCCCATATAGTACAACTCAAGTGTTAAAAAAGTATTTTAAATTTTATAAACGGAACACTTAAATGTTTGCCGCAGTGCGTACTTGAAAAAAAATACCATTTTGACTTCGAAACCTACCTGTTTCGAACATCGGTTAAAGTGCATTTTTGTTTATCATTTATTGTAATCGTAATAAACAATAATACATTAGTTTTCTGAGAATTAATAATCAAGAAAGTTTAAACGCCGAACCCGACTTGGCAAGCGGTATTTTTTTGTTTTGTTTATCGAATGACATAACAGAACACTCTTGAAATTTCAATTTTATTTCTATAAATTAATCACTTAATTGTTTGTTAAAAATCAATGTGTTTGAAAAACACGTTCAATACCCTCTCCGTTAGAAATTTTACGAACTGTGAAAGATGAATTTAATCATATTTAAAACAATTAATTTTAATTAATTCAACAACTCTGTAAAATCAATTTTAGGCTTCCTTCGCGATATTTCGTTATAATTTCTCGGTAAAAATAATTATAATATGATACGTAAAATAAGTTAATTAATTAGCCTCTATGCTACTCAATATCAAATTTATAACGTCACACGCACAGTGATAATATTTTGTCATAAAATATAATTACTTCGGAAAACAATACTTTGGTCGTCGGACCAATATCGTTTTAATATTTTTACTGCGTTAGGATTATAAGCAAATAATTTCAGGTGTTGAACACTTACGATTTTCATGATGGCGTTCATTTTTGCAGATGTTTGTTTGGTTCGGTCTGTTGACGGGTCGATGAAAGTCGATATTGCTTTACAAGCTGTTGACGAGCGAATGATATTCGGACCGAGACGGACTTGTGCTTATATACGGACCGACGGGACTAAACTCTGGAAGTGTCCCACCCGTGTTGGTGTTGTGGCTGACCACCATATTTCATCATTAAATCGCTCGTTGGTATGCGAATTGAATTTTTTATCGTACAATGTAAAGTTGTTTGGCATTGACTGCGCACGCATAATAGACCTGATAAAGTTATATAATTCGGTGTGTGTCACGACAGTACGCGTATCGGATATTGAACATCAATCTGGATTGGGATTTGGGTTACTGATAAAGTATTCTAAAAACGCATTTGTTGTAAGGCCGTAGACCATAGGCGACACCGTATTTAGATTCAACGAGCGAAATAATAACGTTGGTCGAAACGAATTATTTACATCACATTACATTATATTATATTATGGCCGTCTACTATATATTCGCCGCAGTGACACCATTTTTGAACTGACACAATAATCAACATTTTGATGAGTGTTGTGTCATCTCGAAGTGATGGTCATAACATTTCGACGTATAATAGACGGGTGCTACAAGAATTGCTCATATAGGATAGGTTTTGGACGCAAATTATTTGTTTTTAATCAAACCGAATACTTACTAGTTACGATTAGTCGTTTCCACTTGCGGCGTAGGCATTATACAATCGACGCGATGGACGAGACGAAATGTTCCCAACCCTTATATTATGTATAATTAGTAGAGTTAGGATGTTGATGACTTTTGATTTTTTTTTCCTTCGATTCTATATACAATGCTATCCTAGCTAAAAATTTGTTTCATGCTCACTTGATGCAGAATGTTCTAATTTTATTTTGCATTTTTTATTTTTCAACATTTTTAAGTCATTTTGTGTAGTTTTTAAACAATGGGGAGCATTTTTCTCAAATTTTGAATTAGAGCAAATGTCAGACCCAAACAGAAACAAATTTAATTTATTTAAAATTTTAATATCTAACTTTGGATTTGGATTTAATGTTTGAGACTTGGTTTGTTACATATTTTCAATATAATATTGATCAAACAAGTGCTCTTTCAAACATACACGCTTATCAAACGTTACGCTTATCGAGTATTATATTTATAAATTGCATGGAAAAAATCCGATAAGCAAGATTAAGATTTACATAGACATTAGACCTATTGATTGACGTGCTTATAATTGCAGTAGAAGGAACTATTGTCAGTTTTTAAGGTAATTTTTTTTAATTTTTAGGGCATTTTTGCATATTTTTTTTAGGGCATTTTTGTGTGTTTTTTAGGTCATCAACATCATAATTCTAAGAATTAGCATAATAAGCAAACGCATACTTAATTGGCAGGCTATAGACAAACAACTCAAACACAACACACACACTTAGATTTATTTTATTTGTATAATATGTGAAGACAAAAATATTCCAACAGGKTACATGCAAGTGAATTTATGATAAAAAAAATAAAATGATAACTTACCTGATAATAAAACAAGGCATACTTTTGATATACATTTTTTTTAAATTTTTCATTAATATGAAAATATTGAATGTTCGTTTTGTAAAAAAAAACTTGCAGAGTAGTAAAATACCTACCCTGCAGACATGCCGTCACTTATATGATAATTAAATTGATTTAGTTTTTAACCTGTCCAACAAAATGACTTAAATTGTTGTCCTCTGTTTGAATATCGGCTAAATTCGTTCAAATTTGTATTATACACATAAAAACTGTTTATATACTTTTTAGATTTTTGGTTTCGTTATTAACAGTACTTATATAAGAAATCTTATTTTAAATGTTCAATCCTTTTGGGCTATGGCTATAATTGTTAATTAAAGTAAAAAGCTATTCACAATGTTTGGCAATAATTTATGATTGTAGTTTAATTTATTACAATGTTGGTAACAAAAATTATTATAGGCAACTAATTATAGACACATTTTTATTTTTATTTCTATTGTAAAACATCGATACAATATATTTCACTTCGATTTATGATATTTTGTACATTATTAACAATATTTCCATAAATTTATTTATTTAATTAAGTTATGTATGATTATTAATATAATTTTTTACCTGATAATTTTGGATGGGATTTACATGTACCTATTACTGACCTGGATATGTATATATATATAATATATATATATACTTCTTGCGTCTCAGATTTCATTTTCTAGATAAATTGCATCCGGATTGATGAAAACGTCAAACTTTGTCATATAGCCTATACTTTCGTCCCGCATTATACCCATTTTTATAACCCATCAAGGGCGTCCGCAGGGTGCGCAAGTAGGGACAGCTGCCTACTACTTAGCCTTAGGATTATCGTAATCATTATTAAGACTGGAATTTGAATGCCTTAAAGAAATGCTTCGTCCTAAAAGTTCTGAATAATACACTACAAAAATAATTAATTTTTAATTTTTAATAATTTAGATATTAATTTAATATAAATTATTGTAAAAAAAGTTACAGACTGAACTAATCGTTTATTTTCATTATTTAATGTTTATTTCAATCGAATTTTATATTAAATTAAATTTCAAACTCAAATTTTGGATTGAAAAACTTGAAAAATGTGCCAAGACTCTTATTTTGATTCAAAACTAAATGTAATATGTAAATATGTTATAAAACGAATATCATTCATGTGATCTCAAAATTCCGAAAACAATGTATTATGCATGGAAATCCCATCCTTAATCATTATGTAGTATAAATTATTATAATTATAACAAATTGAATAATTTTATTTATTAAGTGATTTTTATTACGCTCGGTGGTGAACGTTATTAGAACTAAGTACTTTGCTTTTATAGATTTATGGAATGGAATAGAGCAAAGACGATAGCTGTGTCAATCAAGTAACCAAGTTTTTACTTTTTCGATAAAAAGAAAATTAAATCTTTATAGATTGCATGCAATAATACTTTCAAGTTTTTCCTATTAATGGCCAAGTGAGCTAGAACGATTCAATTATAAACCCAAAATTATCAAATCAATGGTAACATTTTATTTATTCATAAAAATAAAATAAATTTGTAGATTTAAAATTACATATTAAGTTTTAACTATAACTATTTTCATTTGATTCATAAATAATTTTTACATTTCCTATCTATATGAAATAAAATATACCACAAAAAATACATCACTGTTCAGATTATTATTTAGAGAAACGAAAAATTGAAAAACTATAATATTTTGTCGCCTCCCCTTTAAAAAAATCCTGCGGACGCTAATGTAACCTATTTTCATATTCGTGGTAATTTTTATACTGTTAATATTTTTATAGACTTTCTAATTTTAGAAAATAACATTCTGAACAATTTTAAGACTTATATAATAATTTATATATATTTCGTAAACAATAAAAGTGTCCATTCCATATAATAAATGTTTGTCAAAATAATGATCGATCGTATTGTAGATACTATGACCTATTTACTTATTTATAATTATTTCTGAAAGCCTTAGTTTGATCATAACATACATTTTACATTAAATTGTATATAATAAAGTTGCAACTTTGAGAGGAAATCAATCACTGCATGCGTTCGCTTTTGATTTGCTACTTTTGTGTTTTTTGTTTTTTAAAACCACATGATCTTTATTTTTAACTTCGTGAACTAAGGTAGAACATAATATATTCGATTGAAAATTTTGACGTATGAATATTGAATATGGAACACAAATATGGGCCGATATATCATTGGTAACTTAAAAGTCAATTATAATAAAAAGAAAAAAACCTTTATTATTCATTAGGTAATAATAGTAATAATTGACACAATTCTATAAATGTGAATTTTACATTTATGATATTCATCAGAAAACTGTTCTCGCGTATTTTTATTTTTAATTTAAATGTGATTTTTCATTGTTGTCTTTTAATTTTTTCAATTCAAATGTATTATAAATAAATGCTCATTTAATCGAAAATGTCAGTTTTCAATTAATATCGCATTTTATTTTCTCAAATTATTAAAAGTAGTTTGAGTAAAATATATTTTTATCAAATTTAAAATAAATTATTTTTATTATTATCTGAGTATAGTATAATAATATTATAATAATTGTCAAAGAAAAATCTAATCAAAAAAAAACTGTTCTAGGAAAAAAGCATTATAATGAAGAGAATTGTTATCAAAAAATAAAAATAAATTTATAGTTGTTATATATTATAACACCATTCAGGTTTCATTCAATTAAAATATTGTGAAAAAAATATTTTCTAAATATGATTTATATTCTTGTCTTATTTGGCAAGACTTTGTAATTCAATTAATTAATATTGAAATTAATACAAAACATGTTTTGTCATGCATGGAATATGTCTGATTAATAGACGTGCATATATAGATTGATTCACCAAGCGTGTTTAATACGCATACTGTCATACTCCGCTTTTTCCTTCAATAATTAATTTGTTCAAATAATTCTGATTTTTGGAATTTTTCAATGTACTTAAAGACCACTTCATCAGATACTTGAGATTTTTCGTAATACCTACTTAAGGAATGTTCTGTGGCCATATCCACTTGAATTTTTTGAATTAATTATTTAGTCGATAATTGTTTTTAAACATTTTGATGTGCCAAATTCAAAAATCAATATTTAAAAGTATAGTATTTCAGTTAATAAAATGTTTATGGTAAGAGAATAAAATGATAAAATAATTTTTTTTAAATATCATACTTAGAAAATTTCTGTAAATTAAACGATATTAATTAGGTACTAAAATTTTCCAATCACCATTGTCTCCATATAACAATATCTAAGACCGATTATCATAAATATCTAATTTTGATACGTCAACGTTTTCGAGAAAATTGTCCGCTCAACAATTTTCAATACAAAACGAGGGGAGGGTTCCTGGTTTGAAAATTAGACTTTGAACCACCAAATGAGTACAGGACACACCTCGTTAAGCAGTACAAAACACTCAAAAATTCAACTCTACATCCATAAAAAAGTTTTATCATTGGTACCGATTTCTCGTCAGTCGAATTTGGCAACGGCTGCGGATTTCGTCATTAGACACGCGTTGTAAATAAATAAATTATTAAAATAAAAAAAACATTTGATTACACTGTGAACCAAAAATGACATAATAACGAAGGCGACTTTATTGTGATACAATTCGGGTGCAGGTCATATCGTCCAGTGTACGAGGACGGGTAAAAGTGAGTATCGATAATTAAATTGGTCGTTGGCCAAAAAAATAACAATATTGATCACTGGAATAGGTACCCACCACCCACCACCCACGGTTGCCGTCGTCCGTCGTCCACGTGTTTTACATACCAATCGTCAACAGTCAACACATTATAATCTATTCGGGCGACGGATTTAAAACATAATAATAATATAATCCGCAATTACTAAATTATAATACGCGAAAGTAACATAATATAATATTATTGTATTAATGTGACATTGACAAATTCGCCTATGCATTGTATATTTCTATTATAATAATAATTATTATTGTTATTGTCCGACCAGCTCCTCGCGATCCGTATAAATAGCATGACCAACACACCTGTAGGGCATCAGTCTTCATCCGTCCAGTCAACCTAGCTATCGTATTATATTCCATCATCGCCAGCGATTAACTCAAAATCAAAATGAGCATCAAAATGGTAATTATTACTAGTATTATTATTATTATTTTAACAACTGATAACATTTTATGTGTTATCACTCCGCATGCTTGCACTACAGACATTGCTCGCATGTGCGGCTGATAAAACGTACTACCCAAAAATATAAATGCTCCTCGTAATGAATGCGGACATATAACGATATATTAAAAATTTACTTTATTATTACTTCTTAGTTCTTATTAGAAAATATCAGGTTAGTTTCAAATTGAAGAACCGTTTTAGATAAAAAAATATATTTAAAAAATTCAAAATTATTGTTTTTTCGTTATCCAATATGCGATCGATGAGATTCGGATCAATTTTTGATTTCTATTATATTATACTTTAGTTCGTCTCGAAAAGGTTATAATGATAAGCTCTCAACTCGAAGAACCTTCATCACCCGCATGAGCGTCCCTGGAGGGGGCACGATGCGGCTCTTGCCCCCTCTTGGATTTTAAATTTATTTTCTAAAGCATTATCTTTAACGTGCCAATTTGGTAAAAATAGATAACTTTTAAAATGTATAAAAAATGTTCACTTATTTTTAAATTAATTTTGCCCTAACCTAGAAAAATGTCTGGAGACGCCCATGACCGCCCGCCATACTTGAATACACCCAACATAATATTATATAAAAAAATAAAACATTATTAATATTTTATTATTATTGTTTTCCAGTCACTGTTCGCCGTCGTCGCCTGCTGTCTGGTCGCCATGTCCGTCGCCGCCCCGTCTGGCTTGGTTCCCGCGCCACTCGTGGCCGCCGCACCGGTCGTGGCCGCCCCCGCCCAACCCGTGGTCACTGCCTACAGTTCGCAGTACGTGGCCAGAAACTACAACGGCATCGCAGTCGCGCCCGCCGTCGTCCCGTCTGCGGCCGTTGTCGGCTACCCAGCACCCGCACCCATCTACGCACCCGCCGCCTACGCCTACCCTAGTCCGCTGGTCCAAGACTACTTGTTCTGAACTTCCGTTTCCGGGCGACAGTTCAGCGCGCACGGCAGTAAACGCGCGGCAGCGACATTTCAGTAGTGCGTCGAAGTCTATCTGTCATGAACTTCACTCATTCTTCATCTCGCACTCATCTTTATACCTTTATTATATTTTATCTATACATATTATAAAAACAATATTTGTTTAATTCATATTATACTGCTGTCATGTTTATTTTGACAACTCCTTAAGTAAAATTTTCAAAAAATAAATAAACCAAAAAAGCGTTTACTCTTCACAAACTATGCGTGTTAACGAAATTATTGTTATCGTCTTTTTCACCGTTTCGCATGTCTTATGTTTTCTTCAAACATTTAAGACACCATCCAAATCAATTAATTTATTAATCTTAGCTAAGACTAAACATCAATCCGACAATGTATTAATATGAGATTTAGAAATTGCAGTTTGGTGGACTGCGATTGCTCGTGATGGAGCCATATGAGAAATTGTGATTGAAATTAAAAAACTCGATTCGTATTAACCTCAAACCTATGACCGTCGAATTGGCGTCGATGTTGTAATTGGAATAAAATATAATCGTAGGTAAATATTTTTTCATTCATCCGACTACTTATACCGCCGACTCATCAATAATGCGCAAATAATGATAATAAACAGAAAATGACCACTTTATATAGCCGACAATGTATTACCTCGGTAACTTTCATCATGGTAACCATGTTATGATTGTTAAGACCTTACAACGATTGAAACATTCTCATGATATTGCTGTTGTGCCTAATGGGTGATATGATATTAAAATGACAGTAAACAAATCATAAGAAATCGTACGCCTTTTGTGTTGTGTAAAAAAATATTTTCCAAAAAACACAAACATTATAATATTATAAAGGCGGACACAACTTACTGTAAAATATTAAATCTTTTGTGATATGATATTTTAATGCAATGAGTTTAATAGGTACAATATTGAAGAAGTTTAATATTATAATAAACGTAGATTCGAAGTATAATTGAGACAAAAAATAGTGAAATTATGTAAAGACCACTATACGCGGCAAACGGTAAACCAACGTTTTGTTGCGGAGAAGAGAGTCGCGAAGAAAAACATTTTATTTCTATTTTGCGATGGACAATGAAATATAATATTTATTATACGTTTGTAAAAAACAGAATTTTGAAATCTGTCCTTAGATGGCATACCTCAGCACTGGTCGTATAAACCGATTTCTACCAGGAAAAAATTGTCAATGTAGGTGTATACCAGTAGTGGTCAACATGAATACGTCTAAAAGTGACATAGATAAATGCAACGATATCAAGAGCCAAAATGTTTATAAATACATCTTATAATTTTTGTAGTCTTACAGTATGTTATCGTTAATTAGAAAATATTGGTTTTTTTTAATAAAACGCGATCCGCAAGTTGGCCACCCCGCCCACCCCTGATTTATACATATTGCGTTGCATCGGTGTATCTTATAGTTTAAATGTACCTCAGATAAGTATTGCATAAAATAAATAGTAAATAATAATAATAATAATAATTAATATTATATTACAGCTCTTGGTAAATTTCCGAATGTAATTCAAGCAAACCTCTAATAACTTTCAATAGAAAACACTTTGAATTTTTCAACAAAATCGAACTAGTAGAAACCTTGTATTACAATTTCAAGCTTTTTGACCCAACGAATACAATTTTATTGACATTTATAGAAAAAAAATGAAAACTGCGTATCAATAAATAATTTAAAAACAGTTGAAATATTTTTAAAGTTTTATCAAGTATAGGAATTTATAAAATAAATACTCGTATATGGTGAACATTTCAAGTTTCTAGAATCATTCGTTTTTGAATAACAACAAAATAAGAATTGGTACAAGAGAAATTGATTGAATATCGAATGTTGTAATTCAATGCTCATACAAATTTAATTTGACTTTCCAGTGGACATTTTTTGTTTGATCAAAGTAGACAAACTCATGAAGAATCTTGTATTGAATTTTCAAATCTTAGACTTAAAAAGGAAAATTTTTATGAATTTCTAACACAAGATAAATCGTATTTTTAAAATACGTATTTTGTCATAATTCGAAATTTCAATGCTTATTATTAATAAGTTATTAAAAAAAATTGTGGCTATGCATTTTTAATATTTTTTAACAATTGCCATTGTAACAATATATTAGGAGTCTCGTATTAAATTTTGGAACTTTTTTTACCAAACTAATAAAATTGTATTGCTTGAATAAAAAAAAAGAACTTTAAAAATTTTAAATGTCTATAAAAAATTTATAAAATTTGAAAAAATCAACTAATTTGGGGAATGCCAATTTAATCATTTAGTGAAAAATTCATATATCTACGTCAATTTGTTTTAGAGTAAAACCAGTATCAAAAATCGATTTTGTCAAAAACAGATTTTCGTAAACCTATCCGTTCTTCTTTAATTTATTTGTTGTTTTTCCTGGTATTTTTAAAAACTACTGGAAATTTCTACATTCATTTTCCCGACGGAAAAGTTACTGTAGTTGAAAATCGTGGCATAATTTCGACTACTTATTACGACACACACACACAAATAAAATAAAAACACACATCATTGTACAATTTATACAACGAAACGCTCGTAATAAAAAAAAATAGAATAATATACGGGAAAATATATTTATGTACACAAAGTTTTGATAAATTCAGACTAGTGTTTTTCATTTTTTTTTTAGATTCTGAGCGGAGCGATGAATGTATTGAAATTACCATGATGTGTGTTTTTTTTTTGTGTCTGGTCATCACGTTTTGGGGCAGTAAAAAAGCTTCGATTTTTGACTTCAGTACCTCGTTCGAAGGGAAAAACGTGAAATTTTACGGACACTCATTTTTCGACAAAATCGATTTTGGTTTTAAATGTAACTTTAAAACAAATGACCATAGATACATGCAATTTTCACTGAATGTTTATATAAGTATATTCTATCCACCATGAAATTTTCAAAAAATTTCGACTTAAGTTGAACTATTTATAGGCATTTGAAATTTTCGATCATTATTAGTTTTTTTAAAAATTAATATCGATAAAAATTTATTTGTTTGGTAGAAAAGCTTGAAAATTTAATACAAGGCYTCTAACACATTGTAACAATAGCAGTTAAAAAATATTAAAAATTCGTAGGCACGATTTTTTTTTATAAGCATTTAAAGTTCAAATTTTGACTAAATACGTAAAAATTACGGCAATGTTCAAATTATCTTAGATAGAAATT